CCCATTAGTGCAGGAATGCTGGGAGGAAAGGTGTGTCCGATCTCAACTTCCCCCCGCGGACTCAACAGGAAGTAGCATAGAGAGGGAGGTGGGGTGGGGGTGAGGAGGATAGGAGATTGGACACAAGTCAGATTTAGTGGAATAAGGGATGAGTTTAAGGGTGGAAAAACAAAGAAAAGGGATTCAATATGGATTCGAAACAGAGATGGTTTAAGTCGTTAGGTTTAAGGATTGTATGTTTATGGCTCTTTAATCTAACCGAAATAGTTTTTGTTATTTTACAGTAAAAGTCAGTAAATTGTTGAAATGAAGTTCTTAGAAAACTAAAATGTTTTAGAATAATGAAACGCCAAATTAAAGTGCAAATCAGCTAATAATGTGCTATTTCATGTATATTGGAAATACAGTGTTAAATAATTCATAATTATATATCGTACCTGAAAGGATTCATTAATTCAGTTAATATATTTCACTATTTTCCGAAAATGAATTGAGTTAACTGAGAGAATAAGTTTCTGAATAATCTATAAAGACCTGTTGAAGAAATCAAGTATGTGTATTTTCTGTATAATTGACAACAAATAACTTTTTTTAGTTAAGTATCAGACTAAATAAATGAAACTTAACGAAAGATTTGGAGAGAATAAGTATAACATAACCTGTGAAACCCGGATAGAGGAAGTATGTAAACACAAAGACAGAAATATAATGTCTTTCTATCTCTTTGTAATGTAGGTAAGATAAAGTTATCAAAGCCTAACCACTGTGTTTAGTCTACCCCCAACACACAGACCTCTGTGCCGGGTCTATTTAGCTGAGCTAGGCGTGTTTTGTCTGCACACACACATTCACATGGTGATGCCATCTATTTACGGACGGTGGATGCAGAACAGCGTGACAGTGTTTAACACAGGCAGGAATGCTGCAGGTGTGTGGAGAAAAGTTTGGAGAAAGAAAAAGCAATTGTATGTCTCACACACATTCAGACTGAACTTTACCCACCTGGGTTATTCTTGAAACGGCAGCAATGACACAGCGAGGTCATTATAAAAGTCTTTCTTCGGGTCGGTTTTCTTTTTGCTTTGTTTTTTTGTCTCGTCACTTCCCCCCCCCCCCCCCCCCCCCCCCAGTGTTTCCTGGTGCAAAGGCAACGTCTGTTCTGCTTTTTAATGGACATCTGCTTAATGCAACAAGTGCAGCATGGGGACATGGAATCGTATTATTCTTTTAAATATTGAATGCAAAATGTAGTACCGTCAGTATTGGACTTTAGGAGAAACATATCTTCAATCATAACAGGATTAACTTCTGACAAACAGAAGTTTTTGGACGATTACAATTCCCAAAATAAGTTATTCTCCACTTCTTTGTCATCAGCATTCAGGGTTAGAAACCATTAGAAAGCGTATGTACCTGGAAAGGAACCAGTAACATGGGTGTTTATTAGGAAATAAAAAGCCCAGCTCCTGTCTTGTCCCTCTGTCTTCCTTCTCGCCTCTTCAGTGTTGATCTTCCAGCTTCAGTGGGAGGATCCGCTGTGCTGTTAAATCAATCCATGACCTCATGGTGTTGTAGCACTTTGTTTGGATTAAGCTGCTCTTAGCCTCCCAGTTCCTAGTAACCTTCTCTCCCCTGAACTGGACACACTTGGTATGCACACTCCTGAGGGCTAAAATTATATTTGTGAGCCAGTAACATCACTGGGTCAGTATTAGAAGCTCTGAGATAACGGGGAGAGTTAAAGTGTTTACATTCCTAACTTGATTTCTGAGGAGACGTGTCAAGTGGGAGGATTTTGCTCAATTTACAACTAGCACTTATTCCTGTTATTTCACAATACTTTTACCAAATACAAATAAGCCATATTCAAACAAATAGTTGGATGAGTGACCTCCCCCCTGCGGACTAAACAGGTTTAACGTGCTTCCATGTAGGTTGGAAGTCACTTCATCTAGGAGATGTTCAGGTTTAGCTGCTTACCTTGTGCACACACTTTAACACGAGAGGAAGGATTCATTCACATCAGGTTTCTATTTATTCGTCTTTAATTATTTGTTTCTTTCCCGCTCTGTCTCTGGGCTAGGTAAGGTGACAGATAATCACCTTGTCACTTCCTGTCAATGATAAGCTTTGACTCAGCAGGTGATTAACATGAATGTGGGAAATCCCCTCAGTAGAAACTTGACATCACCTTTTTAAAAAGGAGTTTTCCCAGATCAACCAAGGAATCTGATCCCCTCAGATTCAGGGTGTTAGGTGTGTCTTAGTGTGCATGTGGTCGAGCAGATTTGTTGCGGTCCAATACCCTCGTCCTTTAATCCGGATGAGTCAGGTTGGCCCATGCACACACCGAGGAATTAGCCTTATGCAACAATACAGGCTTTAAATGACTTACATTCTTGAGTTCTTAATAAATGTGTCTGCACCACATTTGTTTACCTCCATCATTTAATAGATGATATTCTTTTATTTTATTCCAAATCAGAAGAGACTACATTCTGTAATTAAAACTGACCTTACTTGCTATATTTTAAACTCTTTTTGGTGTTGAGATTCCCAAGTAAAGCCTTATATTAAGGATACATTCTGCAGTAATAATTCATCACATCTAAGGCTGATTTAAAAGTATATTTTCAATAAAGATGTCGTAAAACATGTCCATTCAAATGTCCTAGGGCCCAAGATAACTTCAGTTATTTATACATTTTCAGAAATGTGATTTTTATGTCAATCAGCGTCTACTAGCCTACCTAAATAAAGTTGTGCGCTTCTTTAGACAACTTTCAAAACTTGTTACGTATTTAAGGATGCTGAATGCAGCCTTATGATCCTATTAGAATCTTCTCATGTCATTTAATATAAACAGGAATATAAAGACTGTATTTTTCTTTGAATCTAAATAAACATCCAGTTCTGACGGCGCACATCAACAGCTTTGCAGTCTGCATCTTCAGCAGCTCTATGGGATCATCGGTTTTTCTTTAAATCCAAACGTTTGATAAATGACTTGTTAAATGTTGCAAGTCATTCTCTTGATCCGACCCACAGACTGGCATTACATTGTAAGAAGCCCTCTAGCTGCAGTACTGTGTGTTTGCACTTTGCACACGCTGCATTGGCACCTTGTCTTTCCCTTGAGCAGTGTGTGTTTTCCATATAAGGGTGTGTGTGCCTTCAAAGCCTCTCTGGATTGTGTTTGTGTGTGTGTGTGTAGTTTTTAATAGATGTAGAGGAGTGCTGCGCTATGCCCATGTAAGCACACACTACACTGGAGAATTAAAAGACTGCATTGGCACACACACTGTTCACTTGCACACAGAAGATGTCTTTAAAAATGTCAGTCAGTTGTTTTGAGGCTTTAAAAGCTATGAGAGGATGTCGTTTTCACCATTGACATGTTTTTTTAAATGTATCTTTTTACATATAACCAAAAGTTATGAGGACAGTTTGTAGGCTTTTATTCATTATCATTTATTGTTTTTTTTGTATTTAAATAAGTCTATATAGTGTAATAAAAATGGTTTCCAAAGAGGTTCAAGTACAATGTTACTTTATTTTGTCAAAAACTAGTTTAATTTATAATGAGACGGAGAAAAGCCTCAAACCCTTCCCAATGGGAATGCAGAAACCTGCCAGTATTTAAGGAAAACATTTAATTAGCAGTTAAAAGCCCACTTGACTATTATTTCTTTTTGTAAATATATATTTCTGCTTTTTGTCACTTTTTCCTGAAACCAAGCTCCTGCATGCGCCCAACTGCCTGAACACATTTTGACTGTCTCTTAGTCAGAGGACAGGCTCTTTACAGCTGATGGTGTAACACTCGGCTTCATCATGTGACCTGCATTATAGTTTTGCATGTGTTCCTTGGTAGTTGTAAAAGGAGGGACTGTGTGGTTGGCCTGGTGTCACTGCTCTTATTTCTGCTCTTTAAAGATGTTTTTGTCTGCACAGTACACGTGTCCTCTTTATCGAGAACTTCCTCTATCAGCTGACGCCTGTTTCTGACCCCCCCCCCCCCTCTCTGGCTGACTTCAGGCCTCACTTACAGTGAAGCCTCTTGTGTGATTTACAGTACGCACTCTTAGGTTGTTAACACGATTAGAATCCATGTGGCCGTCAAACTGAATCATATTTTCTTTCTTGCGTTGTTCAGTTTCCTGCAGGAGATGTTCATGTTTTGTTTAAAATTAGAAGTCAGCCGCACAGCATGGGACACAGATTGTGAATTGGTCATGCGCTGACCCTCCAGCAGTGAGGGATTTTTCACACTTAAAGTCAGAGATTTAGATTTTCTTTTCAGAAACACACGGTGCTAATATCTTCCTGCTGCAGTCTTTGACACGAGGTTTATTTTCCATCATTCGTATGTTGCTTTTTATTCTAATTGCACTTGTGAAGTTATCTCCTCCCTCCTTATCATATCAATGGGCTGGGTCACATGAGAAATGCTCTATTGACCCTACAGCACACATGGACTAAAGACAGCTTACTCTGCTTTCTTCCGGCGTCCTGTTATGGTTCGCCTTCCAAAGGTAAAATGATCAGATTCTCTAAAGACGGCATGTATTTGTGTTTCTTTTCTATCAACTTGTCAACTCATTTGAAAAACTAATTATATTTTGTTATACTTTCTGTAAAGTCTTATCTTGTTGCCCCTCTTCTTATCCAAAAACAGCCTGGTGTTCTCAGGTTTCCCTGCTAGCATGCAGCTCCTCCAACAAAAGAAAATGGATTTAGGAGGATATTTTTGTCATTTTACGAGTTGTAAGAAAGTGTGACACTTAAGAAATACATTCCAAAAAATGTTTTCCAACTAATGTTTGTGCAGAAGATTATACAATATAACTTGTGTAACTTACTGAGACTCTTAATTCGGATGAGAATGCACTCTGCCTGTGCACTCGTCCACGTGTGCTGCTGCTATTGTCGTTACTGTTTTGATAAACTAAGTTGACTTGTGACTAACTCATCGTGTCATGTTTCCGTTATTCTGTCAGGATGTGGAGAAGGAGCGAGAGCTGCGGACGGAGTTCAACAGGGAGGAAATCAGACAGAAGATCGAGCAGTACAACTCTCTGACCAAAGACCACCTCAAGATGACACCCGTAAGTGACACACACACACACACACACACACACACACACACACACACACACACACACACACAACAAATATGTACACGGATTATCAGCAAGGTGAATCAAAAGTAAAAGTGCTCATTGTGCAGACTCATGAAAAAATGTCATATCACTATATTATTTCTTCTAATTACAAATTCATAGATTCAACGGCATTTGAAGTTGTCGTTTGTCATTATGGAGCCAGTTAGTCATCGCAATAATAGTGTTGTTATAGATATTGTCCCTAAGGGAAAGTTTGTTTACGAAGAGTCTAAATGGAATGTCTGCCTCCCTTAAATACATAAAGGTATACATTACAACAAAAGTGACACACCTAATCTGTACTAACTTACATTAGCTGCAGCTTTTAATAAACCCGCTCAACATGTGAAACCAGATGACCATAATATTTCATCTTAAGTCTCAGTCAGTCTTTAGAAGTGTTGCTAACATTTGAATATGTAATTCAGTAAACTCTGTATCCCAGAGAAAATCCTGAAACACGTGTAAACCTACACTGCAGATGTTTTTTTATATGTAGTGTTTGTAGATACAAAAGGGAGTCTGCAGGTTTCCATGTGAAGGTGTGCTGCTGTCCCAGCTGCAGCATTCCTCAGCGTTCACATCACGGAGGTTATGCCTGCCATTGTTCTCCTCACACTGTTTCCCTTGGCAGCGTGCAACATGTCTGGAGCTGAATTCAAAGCCACAGGGCACTCTAGCAGCATGTTGAATCCAGTAAAGAATAACGCACTCTAGGCGAAGCGCAGGTTTTGTGTTGTTGGATCGCTACCAGTCAGGAAAACAACATGTGCTTGTTTTTATAGTAGGCCAGGAATACAAGTGTTGTTACATCAGAGCAAATGTTCACATGCCATCATTGTAAGGTTTGGAGCTCTTTTGATTCTTTAACATGCCTTCCTTTAGACTAGTGGAAAGAGAAACATCCAGAATACATATGTTTATATTAGTAACTTTGTCTATTTACATCTTTAGATTCCTCCTAAAATCACCAGAAGTTAGCATTAGATTATGCCTCATTTACATATTTAAACATCAAAACTATTCATACTGTATTAACATCAAGTTATTTTTAAATGAAAAACACAAGATAAAACAAATGGATCAAATATTTATCTGAAGAAAGGAACTGATGGTGTTATCGATATGTCGTCCCTACCCAACACTTTTGTTCTTATTTGACATATTTGAGGTCTTTGCCTCGTTATCGCTTTGTCTCTGATTGTGCAAGATTCTCTTTGTCACCCTTTGTAGTTGACTAGCGAGTTTGACTGTTCATACTGATCTCGTTTGTCATACACACACACACACACACACACACACACACACACACACACACAGAGATGGGGTAATAGGATTAAGATGCTCTTCCTCCGTCTGGGGCCATCTGTCTGGGTTTACTGGGTGAACTGGTTTCTTCTGCAGAGGTCGTTCAGCACGTACATCTAGATTCTTGCTATAAATAACTTTCTTTATTCTTAATTTATCCAAGGTTTTGGTTCACTTAATCTTCCTAATTTGGCGGTCGTTGTTTTTTGTCAACGATTTTATTCAATTTTATATGATCTGTTATTTCTTATTTATTCTTTCCTACATTGGAGCAACTGTAACAGAGTCCAATGATTTCCCCCCCAATGGAAAACAAATATCAATATTATTTATATATATATATATATATATATATATATATATATATATATATATATATATATATATACATACTGTATCTATATATATATATATATATATATATATATATATATATATATATATATACATACTGTATCTAAATTCCTGTTTTGAATCTGAATCCTCCACATTTGATATACCTAAAACTGCATTTCCAGGCATTTTTGCCTAAAAATATAAAAATAGTTGGTGATTATTTTTCTGTTGAATGACTAATCCAGTCATCTCTGTTTGCAGCTCTAACCATACCTCTCTCTTTTTTTCACCCAGAATCCCACTGGTGTGTATACTGGTTTCATCAAAGTGCAGATGGACCTGAGGAGGCCGGTGACTGTGCGGGGGGGCCAGAGAGGAGCCGGGGGGGCACTGGTGGGTGAGGCCTTCTATCTGCCTCGCGGAGTCACCAACACCCTCCACATCAGCTCCAATAACACCGTCAGACAGGTGGCTCACACACACACACACACACACACACACACACACACACACACACGTCAACACAACTTAATTAGGATCTGATGACATACTGGTTGAAGTCAGGGTTCAGTGCATTCTGGCAGATGTTGAGATTTTATTACATTTTCACTGAGTTTTCTTAGTCTTTCTTTGAAAAACTGAGAAAATGAACCTGCAGACACAAAGATGATAGTTTAATGAATGGCCTACAGGTGTCTGTTACTTACAAATTAAATAAGCTAACTAAAGACATATCCAAGGTGAACAGGAGATACTGCTTTTCAAACACTAAGACCATTTAATGGGCAAAGAAGAAAAAAACCATTTATAAAATAAATACACATCAATTTTTGACCGTTTTGTTCCTGTGTGTGTTCAGGTGATCGTCGCCCTGCTGAGCAAGTTCACAGTCCAAGACAACCCAGCCAAATACGCCTTATACAAACGCTACCGCAGGGAAGAGCAGGGTAAGTGTGTGTGTGTGTGTGTGTGTGTGTGTGTGTGTGTGTGTGTGTGTGTGTGTGTGTGTGTGTGTGTGTGTGTGTGTGTGTGTGTGTGTGTGTGTGTGTGTGTGTGTGTGTGTGTGTGTGTGTGTGTGTGTGTGTGTGTGTGGTGTGTGGTGTGTGTGTGTGTGTGTGTGTGTGTGTGTGTGTGTGTGTGTGTGTGTGTGTGTGTGTGTGTGTGTGTGTGTGTGTGTGTGTGTGTGTGTGTGTGTGTGTGTGTGTGTGTGTGTGTGTGTGTGTGTGTGTGTGTGTGTGTGTGTGTGTGTGTGTGTGTGTGTGTGTGTGTGTGTGTGTGTGTGTGTGTGTGTGTGTGTGTGTGTGTGTGTGTGTGTGTGTGTGTGTGTGTGTGTATCAACACCAGGAATACACACGCACACACTCTTTTGAATTAACAGCTGTTGCAGGGTTTCAAATATAATCTTGGCATCTGCAAGAGAGGAGAAAGATGGGCTTTATGATCCTTGTACTATAAAAAGTTACTTTTAATTATTACATTTGTATAAATGCTATATATGTGAATATCTTATTTGAAGTCACATTGATAGAGTTTATTTGTGTTTCTGATTGCATCTGTGCCTTGCTCTGGTTTGTTTCACCTCATTACTGGAGACATACAGTGAGGCTAATAAAAGACAGAGTCTAGACAGACGACTGACAGCAGATGTATGCAGACTTCGTATGGTCGTATTAAAAGTTCCCAGACAAAAGCTTTCATTCAACTCATTAAACCAGGCTGGTGAGGAAGGGTCCTTCAGAGTCATGATAAGATATACTCCAGTTTCTGTCTGAAAGAAAAGAGACACTGTTTGTTTAAAAGCTTTTGAGATCAGTGACCTTGAACCCTATCAGTTTGGCTCCTGTCACATTTCACATGCGATGGTCTCCTTTTTATTTGCAATATTTAAATGCGCCACCTCTATGGAGACGGCAAATTTTCTTTGCAATTTGTTATTACCCGTCAATTTAAGTGCCATTATTGGCATCATTTGATACATTAATAATATCAAATTAAGTTTTGTTATCAATAATAATAATGAGTCTTGTAAAAATAAGTTAGTGTTAAAATCACAATAACCCATGTAACATAGGCCACACATTATTGATTCAAATTTGATGAACAGTATATTGATTTATTTATTGTTTAAGAGTCAATATGCGTGAGTTTTATTGTTCATCATCATTTTTAAAAGCGATATTGTACAGTGAAAAATAATATGTAGAGGTCTTTATTAGGGCTGCACGATATTGAAAAAAACTGACATCGCGATTTCCCCCCCCCCCCCCCCTGCGGTATATATTGCGTTTTTTTTTAACCTGTTAAGCCCCAAAGTCCCGGCGGGTACTTTACTTTTTCACGACACTGTGTCTCAGGGGATCTTAATATTTAAGAACCTATTAATGTGTTATACCAGATTAACGGAAATAATCTCAGCTAACTGACGATACAAACCATTTTATACCAAAACAAAACACAAGTCTCATAAGAAGCATCTAAATGACCCCTGAGCGAAAAATGCTAATGCACTTTGGCACAGAACTCAAGATAAAAGTACCCTTATTATTACTTATCGTAGCTGCACATACAAGATATCCGATTAAAGCTGAGGTTCCACAGATTATGTAGGTATATAGTATCATCCGAACTCGGACAGGGGAAGCAAACACAGACATCACAACACGTACCTTTACGGAGCTTCTTGGGGAGATCGTCTCACCGTAGCTGTCAATCTAATCAAAAGACGTGTTCAATGGCATTAAAACGAGAAAACGCGGCTGAATCGGTTAATCCATAGGTTTTTAACGTCTCTGTATAAAAAAATTCTTTCATTTATAATCCATAATTCCATTTGTATGTAAAAATCGTAGAGCAAAAGTTAGCTGCTAATGGTAGCCACCAGAGTGGCTGCTGCTTCCGGTCTTGGATATGCGGCAGTCCTGTGATGTCTGTGTTTGCTTCCCCTGTTGCGAGATCGGATCGCTTAGATACTATACTTAAATAATCTGTGGAGTCTCAGCTTTAATCGGATATATTGTATGTGCAGTTTCGATAACTAATAAGGGTATCTTTATTTTTAATTATGTGCTAAAGTGCGTTAGCATTTTCTAAAAAAAAATGAATAAAACCGCACGTCCCTGCGGTGTGAATATCGCGCATGCGCATATCGCGGTTATTGCCATGACACGGTATATCGTTCAGCCCTAGTCTTTATCAAGGTTCAAGGTTCTTTATCAGCCCTAAAGTGTTGTTGTCCTCTTCTGGCAACATGGATCTCCCTCTCTTTCTGTTTTTGTAAATGACTGTGGTCGCCATTTTATGTGCCGCACCCATCCTTTCATCCTCTGCCATGCATGTTTATATGTACACACACACACACACACACACACGCAGCGACCACATTGGTGCCTGCATGAATGTGGCTTGCAGGACCGCACACACTGTCGTGCCTTAATTAATGTGTGTGTGTGTTTCAGTGTACGTGTGTAAGCTGGCGGATGGCGAGCAGCCGTTGTTTCTGCGTCTGGTGGCGGGACCCGACTCCGACACGCTCAGCTTCGTTCTGAGGGAACAGACCGGAGAAGTCATGGTAAAATACACCTACATCTATATTCATTGACCTTTATATGAAACTACTGTATCTCTCCTACAGCTCAATACTGAATCATTGTATCCACTCTTTCTTCTCCTCCTCATCTGTTCTGACTTCATCTCCCTCTTTTTCCATGCTCGGTATCTCAGCCGCCATCTCCTTTTCCTCCTTCTCTTTCTTGTCTTACTTCTGTACTCCTTTGTATGGAGGCACATATCTGCTAGGTAAAGGTAGAAAAACACATTTGAAGTTAAACAAAACAAAATGATAATGCCACAAATAGATTTTATAAAATCATATAATTGTTCATAGTATTGTTATCTAAATGTTGAACCCAACATCAATTCAATATTTTCTCTTTGTCCTGTAATCTTGTGAATCTTTTCAAAAACGTCTTCTTTCTTCACTTCCTCCATACCCATCTTTCATTTGATCTACTGCTTTCGCATCCTTCTTCTGGTCATCTTTGTCGTCGTCCTTAACCTCCTAATCATCCTTCCCTTTCTCCCCTTTCCTTCGTCTGCTTTCCTTCCCTCCTTATTCTCATCTATATTAGAGTAGCAATCAAGTCCCATCCATGAACATCATGCAAAAGAAACAAGATGCTCAATAAGATGTGTTGTGAATCAAGTGTTCTCCTCTTCTCAGTGGGATGCCTTCTCCATCCCCGAGCTGCGTAACTTCCTGCGGATCCTCGACAAGGAGGAGAACGAGCAGAGGGAGGCGGTGCTTCGTCGTTATGATTCTTACCGGCGGAGACTGCAGGAGGCGATGAGAGAGCTCCGAGGACCCTCTTAGAGCATTCACCCCCAAAAACAGGACTACTCCCCCTACTGGCTCGGAGGAGGGGACTTTTTTACATCCTCAGAGGAGCTGAATCTACATTTTGACGAGGAGAGGGATGTGAGAGCAAAGGATTCTGCGCCAGGACGAAAGATGATACAAAGATTGAAAGGAAATAAACTGAGGAAGGATAAACGGACAATATTGGGATGCTGGAGTTTGATTCAGCCTGGATGAAAGACTTCAAACTGCTGCCTGCTCACACTGAAGCGTGCCATATTCACTCCTCCTCTCTCCATACATCCCTCTCTCCTACTCTGTCCGGCTGTCACATCATGTATCTTTAGTTCCCCCTTTGTATCCCTTTAAACTTGTGAAAGACTCAAGGCCATATGTGGAGTTAGAGTTTTATTTAATTTTTTTGTTTTGAATGGTTTGTACATATTTTTCTTTTTTAATTTATATGGGTGAAGCTTTTTATTGTTTTGTGTTTCTGGAAACAAAAAGTCTTATTGAGTTGTTTTGTTCCGAGGCGGAGCAGCAGTCTGCTCGTTGACACAGACGGAGAATAGTGAGAGATATTGAGCTGACATACACATTACAGGACGAGCAGATCATTTGGAGAAGGGACAAAGTATGTATGGAGTCTTGAGTGTGCCAAAGAAAGTGTTTTTTTTATTACAATTATTTTTACTTCATGTTCATAGCTGTTAATAGAATGTGAAAAAGCCACCAAAAGAAAACACAACAGACGAGGGACAACACATACACAATATTAAAGTCAAATTAAATACAAATAAAATGGCAATTCAACTTACTATTTAATCATCTTAAAAAGAAGTTTGGCAATTACATTGTAGATTAAGAAAATTACACTTTTTAGATTCAAAGATATTTTCTGTGTTATTATTATTTTCAGGGTGCATAATAATAGCAGCTAAATATCCCGTAACTCTTATTTCCATCATTTTGCTGCTTTTATCACCTTTTACATATCACATACATTTATTTTAAATGCATACATATAAAGCATTTTTAATGAGTCAATGAATGATTGTTATCTTTGATTATTATTTGTATTCTAATTATTGGCACACTTCAGACTTCATCGAGAGTTGTTGGTGTACAGAGGAATAAAAGGTGCATTTGAGCTTTAATGGGACTGAAAACACAAACTCTACTGGCAAATAATGAAAGAGGAAAGGTCTTGTTTACTGAACGAAGAAAGAAACGTGGTTTTGGTTGGAAAGATAGTTATTTTATGGCGAGTGAGGGTGATTTTGTTGGATTTAAAGCCGAAGATGCTAATGTGGTTTGGATAGACTTGACCTCCGACCTTTGACCCTGCATGGTCACAGCAGGAGGAGTGACGGTTTCTGGAAGTTGACTGAGAAGTTTAGGAAAGTAGAATAGAAGGAAGAATAGGACGGTAGTGAGCGGTGTGACCTCGAGGACAATGTGTGTCCTGTTTTCCTGCATTAATGAAAGCTGCTGCTGGGAGAAATAAGGGAGTGCTGAGGTCTGTGAGAACAGCTGATACTGATATGAGTCATGTCTGTTGTTGCTGTGTGCTCTTATCTGCAGTCAAAACCTGCAGCCTTGACCTCCTTTACAGGCCGAGGTTCAGCTGGCAAGGAAAAGAAAGACTTGGAGAAAGAAATGCAAAGTGCGAAAGAAGTTGAACAGGTGGAGGCGTTTTTGTACAGTGAAGCTTCATGACATGTGTTGCCAGTAGCTGCCTTAAATATATATGCAATGTTATCTTTAGTATATGCAATTCATCATTTCTGGCTTAGAGACCAAAGAGTTTGTCGATGTAGTTTTGTTAAAAGATCTGTTGTTTTTGTAGCAGCAGTTATTCAGATATTTGATCAAAAAGCATACATTTAAGATTAAACAAAGACAATCATTTGAACTAGAAATGGGGTTATTAATATATATCGCAAGCATAGATCGCAAGTCATTAACAAAGGTTGAGTTGAGCTGATTGAAGTACAACACCGCCACCTAGCGGGCAAACCTTGTAACTATTCTCTCATTTCTGTGTCAAACTATCTCATAGATTTATTTTTTTGTTATAACCAAAGATATTTTTGTGGTGTTGCCTGGAGCAAAACATATATCAGAGGCCTGTTCCCACTGAAGGGAACACATATAAAGCTCAGAGTTGTATTTAAAGGGGTTTTAACCCTGGTTTATTTTATTAAGGAACACTGGGTTAATGATATGGAAGCAAAGGGAGAAGGTCAGGGGGATTTGAATCTTACAAGCAGCTGAACGCCTAATTGGGACATTTCAAGGGCCATTCTTCCAATTGTATACATAATTTACTCGGAAATACTCGCAAATAAAATGTTATTATTTGAAACCTGGCATTATGGGAAATGTAGGATCAAACTTTTTAAAACGTCTCTTTAAAAAGTACCAAAAACACCCCAAAACTAAATGATATATTTGAATACAACAGAATCTAGATGAATTAACAATTTGAAAATATTTTTGACGTTTTCCCATTATTTAATTCAAAGTGGTGTAACTGTAAAAGCTTTAATATTTACTTTTTTTTATCCAGATGTTCAACATGTTTTTGGGGTAAAACTCTTTACTCTATTTGCTTTGGCCAATTTAAATGAAGTCATAAAGTCAAGTCACTGAAATGATTCTAAGTTTTGCTCGTCTTGACCTTAATTCGGTTTGGTATTTAGCTGCTTATAAAACGTTCAAACTATGTTGGCCTTGTGTTGCTTCCCTATAATATCATTGAAAAGATACACAAGTCTGCATGGAAACAGTTAATCTTAAAGCCATGTTGTTGTTGTTGTTTGTGTATCTGATAAACAACTTGTTCTGTCAGATGACATCATACCAGACTAATCGTATCAATTCATTCAGTTTTTGGGGCACTTTAACTTCAGGGAAGACGGGTTTCTTTTCATTTTTCTTCTTTCGCTTTAAACTTCCGCCATCAAACTGTACTTTATCTTAACATCTTATACACTATAATCTTATTTTGAAAGATTTTGTTAAGCTCCACACATAATTAAATGTTTTTTTTTAAACAAATGGAAGTACAGTGTGACAGAAGTTGTTGTTTTTTTTAAAGCTCATTTTTGTTCATCTTTTGTATATTTTGAGTTTAGCTGTTAGACTGTGAATGGTTTTGTTGAATCTCGCATGTTGTTCTTGTTTTTGTGACACACATGCTCTCTGTTCACTACTGGGCTTAATAATATTAAAGCATGCGTTATCGTAGAGAAAACTGGGGGGAACCCTTTGAGTGAAATCTGATGTTTTTTAAAAATGTCATCAGATCTGCTGGTATAAGTGAGGCTTGATGATTCATTAACCTTTGATGCAAAGCTTTGGGCCAGTAGTGTTCATAAATGAATACTTTTATATATGACATCTGGTATTTAGAAAGACATGTAAGGCTGTTTTCATCAGACATGCAAACTATTGGCTTCAGCTAACATTGTTTACCTTTTTTAGAAGAAGCCGTTTGAGAAATTCCAAACATGTAGATTTGATCTAGATTGTGTCACTTTACGATGTTACACCATATCATGCTGATTGTTTGCCTGATCAATCATTTGAGCAACGTCGAACTGCTGATTTAGGCCTCGAGGAAAAACGGATGTATCTTGTTTCTTTACATGTAAAGTATGTCTTGAGCTTAATCATTTTATCAACAGACAAATATTCTGCAACTATTTTGATCATTTCTTTCAAGCAAAGAAATCCAAAAATCCAGATCCAGCCTCTTCAAAGTGTCTTTGATTTACATGTTGATGAGAAACAAAGCAATCCAAAATACTAACAATGAACATAAATGAGACATATCAGCCTTATGTGGTGTACAATTAGATTTACACTTAAATATGTATTTACTTTCTTGTGATTTGAGACATTGAAATCTAAGCTGCTACTAAATATAATTCTTGATTTTGGAAATAGAACCCCCCCCCCCCCACCATGTGCAGCTTTCCTGTAGCTTTTGAGCATTTGACATGATCCTCAATCGCAGATTGAATGCAAGCAAATCACTTTTCTGTATTTTAAAGAACTTTCCATTCAACGCTGTGGTTTAGGGATTTATCTGAACAACCAAATAGTTGTTGGAAAGTAGAAAAACCACAAAATGTACCATACATCAGTCTTTTTTAAGCAGCTCTTAAATGACGTAGCTAATCTATTATCTAAGATTTCTGGTCTGTAAGGCTTTTATCTTCTGTTGTGTGCGATCCGTGTGAACATCCAGACACTGTACATGTAAATGCCAAAGATCTGCGTGTAGCTCTGTTGATATTCAGCTTCTCCAATGATGCTGTTTTTGTCGACTATTTAGAGATCAGATTGATCTCAAATCATGAGTTCTCCATTAGCATCCGAGCTCAGAAAGTTATTTCTGTTTGTTTTACACTTGAATTAAAAATGTTCAGGTTTTAATTTCAGCCCTGAGCTGCAAAATCCCAAATTTAAATGTAGGCTTTTGAGAGCTCCGAATACAGCAGTGCCTTTCTAAAGTCAGACAGAAATAGAATCCTGCAGCAGGGCTTCCTCATGTCGCTTTTTCTGCAGGAGAACTCTTCAGATGTATTGTTGTCGTCACCTTGCGGCCTCTCTTTGAATCGATACCAAATGTTGCCTTTCCTTCACACAGGGCAGGCTGCGTCCAATAAAGTTGAAATTAAAACAAAAACAAGTGCATTCATGTTTTTTAACTGCTGTTGTGTTTTCTTTGTTGAAATAACTTGCTGTAAGTGGGATTATTTAAATATATTTGACAAGAGTTTTTTTTTTGTATTACTTGATTGACATTTTTTTTTATCTCTCCTCTTGAAAATTCTTTATTTTTTAAAACAAATCCCTCAAAGAATACTGGTTTCAGCTTTTCATATATGAGATGTTACTACTATTATTTTGTTGTGCAATTTTAAATTACATAGATTTGGGTCTAAATTGTTCACCTAAGAAAACAATATACTTGAAGACATAACCTTCACTCTGTCTCTGAGATATATCTTTTTTTATTTTCTCATTTTATAGACCAAAACTACTCAGCAGATTAAAAGATAATCTTGAGTTGCAGCCCTACATTTCCAAAATCAATTAAGATGTTTTTTATAACCCTTTTAAGCAAATTCCAAATATTGAATATAAAGCTTCAACCAGTAATAATTAGCTTAGCATAAAGGCTGTCAGTGATTTGGCAGAACTGCAGTCCAAAGCAGTCCTCCTCTTCCTCCTCCTCTTGTCCTCCCTGTGACCCCAACTACTCACAGACTTTAAATGGACACCCCCCCTCTGTCTCTCTCACACACACGTAACTGTTCATGTCTAAAACTGCAGAAAGGAGCCTTTCAGTGCTGCCTTCAAAATAAAAGCTCCGACTGAAACTTTTGTTTAGTAATCCTGTGATGTTTTCGGGAGGCTTTAAGAGCAGAAACAACTTAAAATACACAGTAATAGACCAAATTATTAAAATATAAACACAGGTTATATTTATTTAAGCACTTTGGAATGTGAGTGTTATATAATGGTGCCGGGTTATTGAAAGAAAATACTAATTGAAGTAGTCACAAAACTGAGGCGAATTTTAACTAATGTATGGTGAGTTCATTAGCACACAATATTGAAGCTCTATCTCCAATTTGGAACCAATTTCTCACATTGTTTTATTTGAAAATTAGTACAATTTGTTACATTTTTAAAAAAAACAGTGGTATTCTGCCCTGAATAATATGAAATTGTGTCTCAAAAATGACCTGCTAAAGTAAAGTTGGTCATTTTAAACTCATTTGAAAAAGTATGACAATGTAAGACCCGTACAGTCTGTGTAAAACACATAACTGGACTTTTATTTTGAAGGTACTCGCCGGATGCTCTTATTTACTCTGTGGTGTTATGTCAGGTCCATTGTGTCAGATCAGTTTGATCCAGCAGCAAGAGGACACGCTCACTCAAAACTCAACAATGTAAGTTTTACGATTTAATAATTGTATACTCACACGAAACAACTATTAGCCTCGGTTTTTTCTGCAGAATTATGAAGAAGTATTATTCTGCGTCGCCAAACCGCGTTCAGAAATATGTTATATTTAGTTGTAAACGGTGCGGCGTCGTAATAATAATGAATTAAATATATAGTTTGTACAGTCAATATTTATACTGCTTGTCGGCATTAATAAAATGCATGGAAGCAGCTCCTAATTACTAAATATAAAAGTCAACAGGTTCAGGTGTGTGGAAGTTCTGCGGATCTGTCAGCAGGTGTGTGTGTCCCGGGAGATATAACACAAAGTTTAAATCTGATTGAACCAAAACAGAATACTACTTCCTGCTTACTCATTTAACTTCCTCAGGATTTGTGATGCATTGGTGCATTCAAGACGGAGTAAAACTTGGCACATTTTTGAACGGAGTTTGGCAAGGTGAGAGCTCGCTTATCGCAAAGAGCTTTTCACAGTATTCAAAAGCACAGGAACACTTTTGTTCCTCTTCAGATTGTTGTCACATATTCATGGTAGCACAGGGGTCCTTTAGTTCGGCTATTAGAGAGCTACACTTTAAATCATGTGTATGTGCTGATGTAGAGCCCCTAGGGGACTATTATTTTTCCTCCAGCAGCTGTCAGCACTCTTCACCCCCAAAACATCATTTAGAGTTCTGGTTAACTTCCCATTTTTGAATTATGAAACCAGTAAATGTGATTATATAGCACTTTGAAATTATCTAGATTATTACCTTATGTGTGGGAGAGGAGGTTAGTTAACTGTTGCATAAGTTCCCCTCTTAGGGCCGGCTGGAATTTATTTCATTTCCTGTGAAGAATGCAATTGTTGTTCAACTCTATATCACATATGAACCTCTAGCTTCTTTCCATTGTGATGGGAGGGAACAAAAGAACCCGTTTTCAGAGGAATTCCTTCACATTTAAAGGAAAACCCACAATCATGCTCTACAATCTCATTTAAATCATTGATCTGAGTTTGATTCACTCACCTGGGTTCCCCTTTGTGTCACCAACATCACAGCAATGTGGTATATTATTGATCTTATGTTAAACATCACTCACATGTCAAAGTTCACCTCACCACATGTGACACAACTCTGTGACGTATTGACGACAAACTGGGATCTGCAAAGATAACACAATCCTGGGATTTGCAGCGTAAAATAGTGCCAAATGTGTTTTAATTGTATTTGTTTAAGGCACTCTACAGATAAGGCTATCATGTATAGAGTTTAAAGAATGCTTTTTTGTTTTGATCATTTCCTTTATATTTCTATTATTCCTTGGATGTTTTGCCTTAAGAAAAATATGATCTGTTCGCCAGAAATATTTAAAATAAAATAAATATCAACCTTAATTGAATTTGAGTTTTAAAACTTTTCAACAGAGGTAATAAATATTTGTTTTGCTATTTCTCAGGTTGAGTAAACGATCATTATTGGCGGCTCTGCTCTCTGTGGCTGTTGGAGTTTACCTGCTGCCCTCTCCCATAGACCCCAAACCACATGTGTAAGTACACACACACACACACACACACACACACACACACACACACACACACACACACACACACACACACACACACACACACACACACACACACACACACACACACACACACTAGGGCTGCTCAATTCATCGTATTTTCATCGCAATTACGATTTTGGCTTGTAACGATTATGAAAACAACATAATCGAAATAAAACCTTATTGTAAGTCGCTTTGGATAAAAGCGTCAGCGTAATGTAATGTAATAAAAAACGATTATTTTATTTATTTTTATTTTGAATTTGTTTTTGTTTTTTTCAGTTGAATTATACTTTAAGTTCAGGGTAATCAACTCTTAAAAACATACTGTTCAAATGTTTCTTTTCAATAAATGGATGTTTTCAAAGTAAATGGATAATCGTTTTTAATAATCGTGATATCAATTATTGACCCAAATAATCGAGATTAAGATTTTTGCCATAATCGAGCAGCCCTAGCACACACACACACACACACACACACACACACACACACACACACACACACACACACACACACACACACACACACACACACACACACACACACACACACACACACACAAACATACTGTCATTAACAATTGAATCCAATTTCTCCTGCAGTCTGAAGGGCCCCCCCCCAGCCCTCGAGGGGCCCCTAGCTGTGAACACCCTGCTGCAGAAGGGCCGCAGGCTGTTTGCTGGTAAACTTCACGGACCAGAATCCTTCACTGCTGATGAGGAGGGTGAGCGGGCATTTATGTTTGTAATGTAAACTTTGACAAATTGATATTGAGAGTGAGAGGATGAACAATACGTTTAGGAGGAATGTAATCATCAACTGTTTTTAGATTTGTGGGTAGCCTCAAAGAAAGAGATATTTTCTAAGATTTCTATCATGTTTTTTTAATAAACTAAATTAATAATAAAGGAAATGATCTGCAAGTGAAACAATAATGATCGTGAAAGGTATTTTGTCCCCGGTTTGGCTCATGTGACATGTTTAAATTGATCTGTATAGATGTCTGGTTTTATGACATCAATTTCATTTTGATTATGTTATAAATTAATGAATGTATTATTATTATTATTATATATTTGTTTTATTATATTTTTGGATTTTTTTGTTGTGATTGGATTTCATCATTGTTTTTTAAATACATTTTCCAAACATTATAGATACATTATTACTAGTTTCAATATATATTTTTAAATGGCACACTACGGTCTGAATGCTCTTCGCCCATATATCACCCGGTGTGTGTTGTGTTTCAGGGAACGTGTTCACGGGCACGGTGGACGGGAAGCTGTGGAGGATCGCCCCTGACGACAGCCTCACACTCCTCACACACATGGGACAGGACCTGCCAGAATGTGGTGTGTGTTTCCACGTCTGATTCTCCTCTGTGTTTATTGTGGGCCAGCTGCTTCCTTTTGACTTGATCTCTTTCCCTCACACTGAATAAACTCCTGCAGTCAACGTGTAGCTGCCGTGTGAGGTGAATGTAAGCAAAGAGACACCAGTTTATAAATCCACACCCCCTCTTAAAAGTTAGGGAAATTACATTTTACAGCACACACATTTAGCTGTCTAATTATTTAAAGGGCCTGTGGCTTATGAACAGCCGTCATCAGGAGCTTGTTTTCACTTCTTTTCTCTCATATTTATGTTTACTTTCTGCTTCTTTACATAATAAATAAAGTCTTCTTAAAGTTTGGTTTGTATTCATGTGGAAATGACTGTTTTCCTCTTTAAAAAAAAGATTAACTATAGTTGATTTGTCTTAGTTTGAAACAAAATAGTTTGTTGTTTTGTTTATGATCACAAAATCATTGTTCGTCTCTCTCCAAACTTTTAATAATTCTTCTTTCTCCTCAGTTTGAAATGTCTACTCTAAATAAACATATATAACATTGTTATTAACATGCAGTCCTCATATCCCTGCAGGCAGCAGCACGGACTACGAGCCGGTTTGCGGCCGTCCTCACGGGGTCCGTCTGGATCGTCACGGTCAGCTGATCGTGGCTGACTCGTACCTTGGTCTGCACAGCGTCGACCCCAAAACTGGAGAGAAGACCCTGCTGCTGGCTAACTCAGAAGGTGTGTGTGTGTGTGTGTGTGTGTGTGTGTGTGTGTGTGTGTGTGTGTGTGTGTGTGTGTGTGTGTGTGTGTGTGGGTGT